TTGAAAAACTTTATGTAGACAGAGCTTGGATGGCTACCGGTAAATTTTAGAATGACCAATAATTGTAATATAAAAAATGCACAAATATTAAAGAGCACAATTTTCTTGATATTTACTCCACTGGAAACGAATGTAAACATAGAACAGATTACAGTGATCCCTTGGTTAACGAACACAATTCGTTCCAGAATGTCGTTCGTTAAGCGAAAATTCAGTTAATCGAAACCATTGTTTCAATGGGATTTCGGGTAATTGGTTCCAGCTCACCGAAAATTACATAAAGTAAAAAAAAAAAAAAAAAAATGCAGTAAAGTACACTTACTTTGAGGTGCGTATGTAGAAGGCTCCTGGTTGATGATGATGATGGGAATTAGAAGTGGGGGTGGAGGAGAAGGGAGAAGAGAAGGAAGTGGGGGTGGAAGAGAAATCACCCCATGCTTGATGCCGTCATTCACCAATAAAATTTTTTAAGTTCACTAGGTGTAATTCAAGATTATTTTTTTTAAATCAACACTGCACTGCACTATATATTGTCAATATGTAAAATAAATTTCAGAATGACCAATAATTGTACTGTAAAAACGTAAAAATAGTTTATGTTCAAGAGCCACAAGCAAGATGTTACCTCCACTGACCAGAGATACAAACTGACGCCTTGCTGGGCGAGTCAAGTGGCTGATTGGCTCACCAGAAACTAGTTTCCTGTACTGCAATTATGTTAAATAAGTTAAAATGACTAAAAATTTTAATATAAAACTTGGAAAATTATTGAATAGTACAACCTTCTTGATATTTACCCAAATGGGAACGAATTTAAGCCCAAGAAGATTACTGTATTGGCGGACTAATATTCCAGCTGGTGAGCAAGCGAAAACATGTTGACATGATTTTGTAAACATTTCGTTAACCAAATTGAAGATTCTTATGGAAGGTAATTCGTTAAAACCGAAATTTCGTTAACTGAGGCTTTCGTTAACCGAGGGATCACTGTACTGAATTACTGAATTGGCAGACTAGCCCATCAGCTGATGCTCACAAAACGTGATGTTCGAAAGGATTTCGTTAATCGAATTTTTTTTGGTTAACCGAATTGAAGATTCTTATGGAAGGTAATTTGTTAACCGAAATTTCGTTAACCGAACCATTCGTTAACCGAGGGACCACTGTACACTTACTTTGAGGTGTGTATGTAGAAGGTTCCTGGTTGATGATGATGATGGGAATTAGAAGTAGGGGTGGAGGAGAAGGGAGAAGAGAAGGAAGTGGGGATGGAGGAGAAAACGCCTTTCTTTGGATCCGTGCTTCTTGATGCAGTAATTTCACCAATAAAATTTTAAGTTCACTAGGTGTAATTACAGATTACAGTATTTTATTTAAATCAACACTGCACTGCGCTATATATTATCAATATGTTAACTAAATTTCAGAATGACCAATAATTTTAATGTAAAAATGTAAAAATACTCTGTTTTCAAGAGAGCGACAAACACAAAAGTTAAACTGACGCTTTGGCGGGTGAGTAAAGCGGCTGATGGGCGCACAAAAAACTAGTTCCCTGTACTGTATATATTATCAATATGTTAACTAAATTTTAAAATTAATAATAATTTTAATAAAAAAAATTACAAAATATTAAAGAGCACAACCTTCTTGATATTTACTCCACTGGAAACGAATGTAAACACAGAACAGATTACTGAATTGGCGGACTAGTCGATCAGCTGATGCTCACAACAAAACGTGCTTGTCGTAAGGATTTCGTTAATCAAAGTTTTGTTCGTTAACTGAATTGAGATCTTTATGGGAGCTAATTCGTTAACCGAAATTTCGTTAATCGAACCGTTCATTAACCGAGGGACCACTGTACAGTATTGTATTTTTTCTCTATTACTTTAGATGTTATATTAATCATGATGAACCATAAGAGGCCAATCATATGAGAATATAATACTGAATCAATAAATAAATAAACCTGATGAATGCAGCAACACCTGATCAGCCCCAGCCTGCTTACATACTCAAGTGTCTTAGTTCTCAGTAGGCCTATAGCAAATCTCATTAGACCACTGTACAGTGATCCCTCGGTTAACGAACGCCTCAGTTAACGAAATTTCGGTTAACGAACTGCCTTCCATAAGAATCTTCAATTCAGTTAATGAACAAAAATTCGGTTAACGAATTTCTTACGAACCGACCTCAACATGTTTTCGCTTGCACTGGCCGGGCAACCAGCTTTAGTATCAGTCCGCCAATACATTAATTGGTTCTAGGGTAAATTCCTTACTATTTTAGTAAATATCAAGAAGTTTATACTACCTATTCAATAATTTTAAAAGTTTAATATTCAATTTTTTAGTCATTTTAACAATTATTGAACATAATTGAAGGTAACGTGACTAGTTTAATGCACGGCATCCAGCCTCTTAACACAGCAAACAGGAGTTAGTCTCTCTCTGTTTTCACTGGAGGTAACATTTTGCTTGAGACTCTCTTCAACTAAACACCTTTTTTCTGTGTTTCCAAGCAAATTATTGGTCATTTTGAAATATATTTTACATATTGACAATATATAATGCACTGTAGTGTTGATTTAAAGAAAATAATCTTGAAATACACCAAGAGAACTAAAATTTTATGGGTGAAATGGTGCCATGGGGTGACTTCTCTTCCACCCCAATGCCTTCTCTTCTTCCTTCTCCTCCACCCCCATTCTAATTCCCATCATCATCATCATCATCATCATCATCATCATCATCATCATCCAGGAACCTTCTACATACACACCTCAAAGTAAGTGAACTTTTCTACCATTTTTGTTGAATTTAGGAAATTTTCGGTGAGCTGGAACCAATTACCCAAAAACCCATTGAAACAATGGTTTCGGTTAACGAACAACCTGCTGGAACGGATTGAGTTCGTTAACCGAGGGACCACTGTACAGTATTCAGTAAGAGTGGTTAATTTCATAAGATTTTTTTATTAATCCTCACCATTTCTTTTTCCTTTTTTGCATTTCTGATGACCAGAGCATTTCAGAATCCAAAAACAGATAATTCTGATATATTGAAGTCTGATTTATCGAGGTTTTACTGTACTCAAATGTAATAAGCGAAAGGACTAAACTTTTTATCTCTTTTGCAGACTTTGAGATATTTATACTATACGTACTGTACTCAAATTAATCGCTATCTTGCAAGAATTTCAGCAATGCAAGTTATATTCTGCTGTCAAGTCTGTGACATTTAATAAGAGATAAACTTTAGCCCATATCATCATTGGGTATGACTTTGCTTGGGAGATTGGTATCCCCGCATCCCCTGAGCAACGCTCTTGTGCATTATGCAGAAGACCCGACAGCAGCACCCTTATCCACTACCTCCTAAGATGTCCCCACACACAACGCTTCCGTGACGCCTGCTGGACCACCACTCCACGACCCCCTGACGGAGACACGATGATCCTCCCCATACTGGTCAGATATTTTGTAAATAATATTGATTATGTGTTAAAGGAATATCCTTCCTTCCTTAGGCTTTAGTAAGCCCCTTTATAATATTTATACTGTATATACTTGTCACACTTGCCAGATGCTTCTGGTGTCATTATACAGGGGTACCTAGTGACAGCACTAGGATCCCGCTTCCTCTATCAAGGAATAAACAATTGAAATTGAAATTGATAAACTTTAAGCCTAAAACAACCTTCATCCCATTAATTGTTATCACCCACTGCCATCTGCCTCCCATGCTGGCTGGGAAGAAGGGGGTGGGGGAGGTGGGGTGTTGACAGCCAGGAGAGGAGATTACCAGTTGCATAGCTATCAGTGGAGGGGTCAGGGACTCAGGATCATAAAAGCCAAGGAGTTTAAGTTTCTTGCTTATAAAATGTCACTGACTTGACTTCGCAGAATATAACTTGTATTGCTGGAATTCTTGCAAGATGACAATTAATTTGAGCATAAACATCCCATAGTTTTCACTAGACAACTTTTTATATAATTAACTTAGTACATTTGAGTACAGGCTGTGATAATTTATGCATTGTGGTTGCAGTTGCGAAGCTTTGTGACATCACTAGTTTATAATTCGTCTCCACATGCCCTGGTTTATTCACCGATTCACTATCAGTTGTCTAAGTGCAAAAGTAGCCAAATTGAGCCATCATGTATCAATTTATTTTATAATACAAATTATGAAGTTAAATGTTATAAGACAATAGTTTAGTAGTGCTGTTAATGTATGTGCTGTGTCAGTGTCTTGGCATGTCACCTCACTCTTCCCACCCACTTACCAATCACGTGAGGATGCAGCTAAATATGGTGCAATCTTTCATAATGCTGGGAACCTTTGTCCCCAGGCCTGGGGCGGAAAGGTTTGGAGTGATTTTCTCGCCATTTGCTCTTTATCATTATTTATCGTTTTTATACATTTAGTACATCTGTCGAAGGCTGAAGTAGGTTTTACTGTATCGTGTGTCTGAGGTGCCTTCGGCTAAATCGAGAGTTAGTTATATCGGATTCCGTTAAATTGAGAGTGTACTGTACAAGATCAAAATTCATAAAACATCACACGCTCTGCTAAAATCAGTATTGCCTTAGTGAACACAGGGCCGATTTGTTGTGGTAAGACAAGTGAGGAGTTGACTTATTTTAAGTTTCCAAGATCCCAGACTCTAGTGCATTTAACTTGCATTGTGTATTGGTCTTAGCAAAGACAGATCACTTAAGTGCACCAGCAGAGGGTTAAGTGATTTAAATATTTTAGTGCATATGGCTCCTGTATCCTGAAAATTCTACAAAATATACTGTGTACTATGCAAAAATTATGTAATTTACTTATGTTCATTCAATTACCGGTGAAGTACTTTAGAGTACGCTCTCCACATTTCACATATTTCCTTCATCTTATACATTTAAACATACTGCCAGACAACATTATCAAGAGGTATATGGTCTTAAGTGATAGTTAAGTGTTGGTAATCTAATATCTGGAAGTACTTACCTCAGTTGCAGTAATTCCTAAATCATTGAGGACTGTGGTAATATTTTCATGATAGTCATAGGATGCTGGGTGCTTTAATAAGTTGAGCAGCTGTATCTTCAAATGTTTCCTTACACTGTTCACCTGAGACTTCGTTAGGGTTGGTGGGAGATTGGCTGAAATGGAAATATAGGTAAGTCTTCTTAACTCTTCTCTACAGTTAGTATTGCTGGAAGAGTTGACAATTCATAAAAATTATACAGTACTGTACAGTAATGTACATGCATTTTTTTTTTACAGGAATTAGCCCACCTGGGCACAGGTCAAACAACCCACAACGGGGCCTGGGGGGGGGGGAGAACAGAAAGAAATTGAAAATAGAGAAGAAAAAGGTTATACTGTGTTAATCTACACCACAAAGATGCTGGAAAACCAGCCTTTTAAAGTGAGACAGATTGTATAAGTATGGAAACACAAGAAGGCAGAGCATTCCACAGTTTGGCTGTGTGAGGAAAGGAGGTACTATAACGAGTTATTCTCGTGTGACCGACATCCACAGAGAAACGGTGGGCACCGCGGGCAAGACGTGTGTTACGAGCCCAAGGCCTTGCCGGCGGTACACAGGATGCCAAATCTACAGAACATTGCCCGTTAAAGTACCTGTAAAAGAGAGAGAGAGAGTGAAGCAACATTTCAGCGAAGAGAAAGGGAAGAGAGATTGTCGACTAAAGGAGGAGAGTTAATAAGACAAAATGCATTTGATTCCACCCTATCTAACAGTTGGACAGAAGAAGAGCCACCCCAGATATGAGAGCAGTACTCCAAGTTAGGACGAATGAATCCCTTATATACTTGGAGCAACTGCTCAGGAGTGCAGTAGCTGCGGCATCTGTACAGCATTCCCAACTTTCAGGAGGCAGCTTTAGTTATACAGTATTAAGGATGTGCGATTTCCAGGACATATTCGAGGAAATGGTGAGGCCTAACATATTTATTTCAGAATTTGGAAGGATGATAGCGTCCTGAAATGTAATTGGTGGGAGATCGTCTAATTTACAAAGTGTAATTGGTAAATATTGAGTTTTATTACTATTGAACTAAACCACGTTTGTATCTCCCCATTCAGAGATGCTGCACAGATCCACACTGATAGAAGTAATGATATCAGCTCTAGAAACAGATCTAGTTTGAGAGTTAGGAGGAAGGGGAAAATGTGAAGAAGAGTAGAATCATCAGCATAAGAATGGATAGAATTAGCTGTAGTGTGAAGTAAATCATTGATAAAAAGAAGGAAGAGAGTAGGTGAAAGAACAGAACCCCGTGGGACACCACTACTGGCAGAGAAAGAGTGAGAAATCGATCCCTCGACAACAACTGTAGACCTTCAAAACTAGATCTCAGAAAACTGGAGATTCTCAAGATTGCTTGATTGATTGAGTGGGTAAAATATCTAGCTTTGCAGCTTGTAGCCATTTGATGCCAAAAAAATGAAACTCATCATTTAAAACTGTGATATAAATAAAATAAAATCCAATTAAGTTTAAATATCAAAATTAGAATATAAAATCTCATATTTATTTAATAACAAAAACGGTTAAGTACCTTGCAATTTAAATTTTTAAAAGTCTACCATCAAGTGCTGAACTTCTCTTGATAACCAACTTTCAAATGGAGAAGGAGCCATCCCCCTGCCAGCACTTGGCCAAAAAACGACTCCTCAAGTCCCCAAGACTGGGACATTCTACCAGCAACCGTCTCACAGTCAGTGGCACCAGGCAGACATCACAATAGGACTGTGGTCCTCCAGCCATAAGGAAACTGGGCGAGGTGACTGTGGCCAACAAGTAAATGGGTAAGGGAGTCTCACAACTGCGGGACATCCAAGGATATTCCCACGAATAAATCTTTGTTGTAATCTCTCATAACTTGTTAGGAACAAATAAATTGTCCCATTGTAGCTACCAGGAGGCCTGGATGGCTGACCTGACTGCAGCAAAGAAATCTCTGTGAGGGAGGGAGCATGACAAGAGGCAGCCCTCTCAGTACCTCATACAGACACATGGACAGGAACCCAATAGATATCCACATTATGGCGCTGCCAGCAGAGGGCCACGAGCCAATAAAAATATCTAAATTGAGGGGGGTGGATGGGATTGAAAGATTCCAGGGAAGACAGTGCTGCTCTGGAATCAATAAAAATAGTAAAACTCCCAGTCAAATGGGTGCTGATTTCTTTAAGGGCTAGGTGTATAGCAGAGAGCCCTGCAGTAAAAATAGATACAAAGGTGGGAAGTCCCCCAATGAGGCTAAAATCAGGGAAGACAGCTACAGACCCAACACCAGCATTGGATTTGGAGCCACCTGTATAAACATGCAGTCATGGCACTGAGTTGGTTGTTACTGGAAATACATTCTCACCATCACTTCATGGACATCAGCCTTGCTCCCTGGGAAGTAATGACAAAAGTGCACCTCTGGTAGGTCTCAGGGGGCCATGGTTGGCATCTTCACTAGGGTGACCCGGAGTTGGGGAAGTGATAATCTGTCAATCCAGCTCCCGGACACAAAAGCCAAAGGATCAGAAATGCATGGGTGAAGGGTAAATGACTGGTCCATGGAGATCATGGAGATCTAGGGAGAGACTGTACTTGATACCAGCAGTGAGCCATTAGGGACTGCCGATGCATATCTATTGATGGTACACCAGAAGACTGGGTATTGGGGAGGATCTAAATGCCTGTGGTCAAACGGATTCCAGCACGATGTATTGTATCAATCATCTTTAGACTGGCTGGTGTAGCTGAAGAGTACAGCTCATATCCACACGCCAGCTTTGTCCCACGATAACATGATACAGTCTTAAGAGGGTCCTATGGTCAGCATCCCAGGACATGTGGGATAAGCTTATAAGCATATCTTAAGTGACCTACAGTGGAGAATCCAGGTCATTCTCCTATATACCACCAGGCCTAGGAAGCGTGTCTCTTCCACCACCAGAATGCGGGCACCATATAATGTTAAGTCAAGGTCAGGGTCGAGACCCCGCAGCCGGCAGAAATGCATGGCTATGGTCTTGCAAGCCGAAAACCCGAAGCAACACCCCTCTGCCCACTGGGACACCCAATTCACTGTTAATTGAATTTGGTGCTCAGCAACACATAGATGAGATGATGAAAAACTAATTGCTAAATCATCTACATAAAGTGTGCTAGAGACTCCTGGTAGAAGACATTGGGTGATACCATTAATTGCCATGGCAAAAAAGGTCATGCTTAAAACTGTTCCCTCCATCTAGGGAACTGATCTGAACAGTGAGGTACCCACCTTCACCTGAAAGGCAGGGTTTGCCATGAATTATTTAAGGAAACAGGGCATTTGTCCTGGGAGTTTGCAATGATGTAGCTCTTTTAAAATCCCAAACCTCCAGTCTGTATTGTATACCTTTTCTGCAACAAAAAATACTGTCAGATGATGTTACATGTCATATTCAACACACCTCTGATTCAAATCTTAACAATGTATCTGCTGTGGAGTGCATTTTTTGGAACCCACATTGGGATGGTGATATGTGGCTCCCACATTCCAGATAATGTATTAGTCTCACACTGACCATTCGTTCTAAACTTTACAAATGCACGAGGTCAGGGAAATTGGTCTAAAGTTTAGCGGAAGAGATTGGCCCTTCCCGGGCTTAGGGATTGGGAGAACCACAGCAGATTTCCACATAGGAGACAGCCTCTCCTCCATGGGAAAACAGTTCCAGCAGAAATTGTTTGAAATGCACCCCAATGTGCCTTAGCATAGCATAAGGGATGTCATCAGGACCTGGGGATGTAACCCCTGCCCCCTGGAGGAGAGAACAGATGCTATCTCCTTGAGGCTAAATATTGTATTGTAGGCCTCTCCTTTAATGACTGTAGTTGCTGGAGCAAGGAGGTTGATTGACCACCTCTCTGTGACACAAGACACAAATGCCTCAGCAAACACATTGGTTACCTCAAGTGCCTCTGATGCCACACCACCATCTATTGTAGTAAAGGGGGTGAGCTGGGAGAGTGCTTCCCAGTGCAAGTGTTTATTGTGTGCATAAACTCTACCCATGACATATGGTGTGCCCCCTAAAAAATTTTACAAGCATGAACCCTTTTCTGCTTGAATTCCAGGAGATTCTCAAGAACCAGACAATTTTTTCTCTGGCTACATCAAGTTTTCATTCCACAAAAATGCAGTTGAACATTTGTTTTACCTCTTAAAATGATAAAATAAAGAAAACATCTTTGCATGCATACTAAAATATAAACAAATTTAATATAGGATTTATATAAATTGAGAGTTGTGAAGGTATATATATACAGTCATGCGCCGGTTAACGTCCGATCGCACATACGTCCATGCCCTCTCAAAAAAAACGACGCCTGCTGGACCACCACTCCACGACCCCCTGACGGAGACATGATGATCCTCCCCATACTGGTCAGATATTATGTGTTAAAGGAATATGCTTCCTTACTTAGGCTTTTTTAAGCATTTGCCTACAGGTGAAATGTTAACCTACATCTATTGAGGATAAAATCTTTCACCTACAAATTGACAATAACACATTTGCTGTAATCAGACATATCTAGTTGCCTCAACAATTGCAACCCCAGTTGCAATTGGGGTTGCAATTTCAAATTCTGTGGCATTACTAAAAATAGTAAAGTTTCTGGTGCACTCTAAGATTAAGAGAGAAAACGGAGGACTCAGGCGTCCTGATGTGAGAGAAAACAGACTCGTATGACGGGGGACCAAATAAAAAAAGCATAGCTACATGTTTTGTGGACTACAGTATTAAGCGTACCCTTTTCATCACTTTGTAATAAACCTAGCCATGCCTATGTGTGTTTATGATAATTACCATAATATATATATATACAGTTGTAACCCAGCTTAACGCGGTCAATTGAACCACAGGTACCGCGTTAAGTGAAAACCGGCGTTAAGTGAAAACAGCGTTAAGTGAACAACAGAACAGATGGGATTAATTCCAATAGAGACTGGCCCGACCCCAAAGTCCACTTTGGCGACACACAACTATGTTGTAGTAAAATATTATCTTAACTTTATGATGGTATGCACACACAATTAATAATTAGAAATATCATAATATTAGGTTTTTAACACTTACATTAGTAGA